ACTCTTTTGTTGAAAGGCGCTACTCTTCTTTTGCATCAGGGGCAGAGCTGTGCGTTTTTTTTGTCGCAGTTCTTATATTTGTCTGAAGACAGTTGTAGCAGGCGGTCGGAAAGACAACAGAAGGAATTCGCAGTCGATGCCAGTTTATGTTTCATTGGCATGATGAATGTGATGTGATTGGGTACTAATCGTTGACATACCAATCATTTGTTCATTTGAATAAAATTGTAAAACTAATTAATTCCATAGTTCCTTATCTGAATGTTAAATTGGATCAGCTATGCTAATAGACGCATCAGTAAACACAAAGTGAGTGATCAGAGCGAAGGCAGCTTCAGTCTTTTTTTACTTGACAGTGACTTTTAATGCCGGTTGGTTGCTCTGCAAAATAAAGAAGGACTTAAATCGGTCGTGCATGCGACAAGCAACAAACCTGTCATGTTTACCAAAGGTGAATCAAACCCTGAATTGCTCTTGAATCAATTCAGCCTGAAAATGACACAGTGCGTGGATGTCATTCCACGCACTGTAATTTGCGACGCTACGGAGGGCACCCCAGTTATGTAGATGTGCCTTTTTCCATGATTGGCTGAACAAGGAGGATTTTAGTCGCATGATTTCCTGTTTACAAAATTAGGAACTTTAATGAAAGAAAAGGTCTGAAAGTGCCGTGCTGTTTATGAGTTTATGACTCCTTCTCTGGGCGTTCTAATGACATGGCATTAGGAAGAAATGAAGCAGGGTTTCATTCAATCTGCAGGATATGGAGGGAAGACTTGTTTTAGCTTTTTTTTCACGATCAAAACCAACTGCTCTGTGAGGTGTGTAGTCATTTTTTATTCATTCATTTATGATTTAATCAGACAATGTCCAGCTGACGAGCTGATCTGAATTACCTGTGGCACAGATTGAGTATATTACATTGTACGTAAAACAACGTGGCAGGCTGCATAACGATAGACTGTCTGTGAGACTGCGTAAATGTGACAACGGACTAACTTCGGAGAGTGAACAAGAACAGCAGAGACAGCCGGCAGCTTCTCTACCTAAGCCCTTAGGTACACAGTACTCTCTGTCCATGTAGGTCTGTGTGAGTGTGTGATTTCCATCATTTAATCTTGCCATTGCATTAGCAGTACGGAGTTTGTGTTAGTACAAAATGTACAAAAAATGTGTAGTATAAAGTTGCAAAGAAAGGAAACACTCGCTACCTATAATTAGTATTTATGTACACTACTTGAGCAAATGTACTTGTAGAGTATGGCGACTGAACAAATATATTGGCTGAGTCCATCGCTGGTTGGCTGGTTGGACTATTTTTAACATTTCCCCCAACCCTATGTTCTTATTTACACTCCACCGCTATGTAACTGTAACCTCTAACATCATTCACCCCAAACTGGATACAGAGTTAAAACAGTTCCTGCTCATCTCCTCTCTGATGTTTTCAACGACATGTTTACAGTTCGGGTGATTTCCTTTGCTTGAAAATGATTTCTCTCCATGGCCCATTTTGCACCGTAAAATAATGGGGATTTCAGCCGATAGAGCAAATCTACTGCGTCTCATTCGAAGGGGAAACAGGATGCTCTCGGCTGTTGCATCACCTCCTCTGTAGCCAATTTATGAGGTTAGCAAGGAGAGCGGCTGTCAGGGTTGTTGTTGCTTTATTTATAATGGTGTTCTCTTAAAGCAGTTGCAGGGGTGAATCGGTGGCTTGAGCACCAGGCCTCTGATAATGGGATGCAGCTGAAATGTTCTATGTTTGCTCTTCAGTAGCTCATCATAATGCCTGGCTGTCCTATTGGTAAATGCAAAAAAGAATTTCCCGATGGAGAACAAGCAAGTAGCAGAACACAAATACAGAGAGTGTGAGAGGCCATCATGTGACGAAAAATAATAACACATTAGACTATTAGACAGTGGTAGTTCAGCTCAGGGATAATAAAAGCTGTAGTTTTTTGATGTGTGATTTTGGAGTTTTTCAGGCTTTAGAAAATAAGGGTTAGCTAGCTATCTGCCTGGTTAGCGTGGTGTGTGTGTGTGTGTGTGTGTGTGTGTGTGTGTGTGTGTGTGTGTGTGTTGCTGCATTTCTGGTGTGTTACTGGAGTATTCTTATGAGGGTCTAAACAAGGCTAGCTGGCTGCACGCAGTAAATTGGGTCACTGCTGAATTAAACACCAGTGCCTCTGCTTGCTGCCTCACTGCTGCGCCAGAGAGGAGCAGGTTAGAAATAGCCACGGCCTCAGAGTACGGATAAACAGTCGAGCTTGGGCGGACATGGAGAGTGGGGACCGGTGCTGTGAAACACAAGAAGTGGCTTTTCAGAAGTCCGCCTCAAACAAACAAACACGCCTTCTGTCGAGGAAAGGTTATGCCAAGTGTTGTTTCTTACCTGGCACTAGTCTGCTCCATCTTTGTGTTTCTCTAACAAGGAGCTGGAAGGGGGGGGGGGGGGGGGGGGGG